AGAAAGTAGTAGAAAATGGGAAAATTGGGCTCGCCCTCTGGTCTTTCAGTGACCCGGAAGCGTTCAAACATGACTAGTCGTGTTGTCAAACCGCAGATAAACAGGCCAGGATCATCGCGATCCCGAGGAGCCAGACTGCCGTATTCGACCGAGAATAAACGCAGGGCACGGTTGGCATTTGTGTTCAAGAGTACACGAGAGCAAGTGAAGGCATCCAGCATGCAAAACAAAGCACGCAAACGCTCCGCTTTATCAGGTGGGTAGAACGTGCAGAAGAAACGTGAAAAAGAAGTACAATTAGGCAAAGGAATGGGCTGATTCAGGAACGAAGTCTCATGCGCTTTACCACCTTTACAACGGGCTGATGAAACCATTCTGCTTGACCGCGAAAAGTACCCAATATATCTGTTCTATGAGTTTTATTGTAAAATAAAGAAAATAAAGAAAGCGTTTATTCACAAGAATCTTTTGCGTAGCAGTTTGATTATCCACTAGTTCAACCAGTACCACGTCTTTCATTTTTACTTCTGACGTTGTTGACCATTTCAAGTTCACTGAGTTTTGCGTATCGGTTCTTACGAGTACCAACCAGAAAGACCATTTGACCACGGTGTTTGGTCCTCCAAGTACTCAGCGACAAGGAATGCAAACGACTTGAGGATCTAGAACGAATAACTATCTGAAGGTATTAGAAATGGTTTAACAATAAACCGAATCATATCGATACTTTGCTAGTGAAGCAGGAGCTGTGAAATGTACGGGATTCGTGAAAGTGGAAAGTTGAGCAAGTACAAGACGTGCTCCCATTCTCTTTTTAAGAACTATTCAGGAGTTGGAACGAGTGGTTTAAGGTGTGGATCGAGCTTTATGTTCGCAGATAAAAATACCATGATTGGCACAGCTGGAACTCACTTTCCCTGGTTCAACAGCGCTTCAAACCCATTGCTGCATAATGTGATTAGCTACTGAGTCAAGCACGAAACTGGAGAGTTAAATGTTGTGAAGAGCGAACCAAAATGGCTCTATACCTAATTGTTTTCACATGAATGATATTACCGCAAAACGGCATTGGGTCTTTCTGGAGTGCTTTTTCAGGTCTCGTTTTGTCACAGTCAAGAATCAGAGGAGACAGTGTTTTCCACGCACAGTTTTGCCTATTCTTATCTGATCATGAGCAGTCGATGGAAATAACAGCGGTGGTAGTCAAGCGCTCTAGATCCCAAAGTCTGAGATTATCAGTCTATCAAAGCTTCGTTGTTGACCAACTCAATGGCACACCTACCGTATTGGGGTTTCATGTGGTTTGATAGTCCAAAACCGACGACTTCGAATGCCGAGTACCATGAGTGAACAGTAGGTGCTCGTGACTACGGATAGAGCTTACCTCTTCTGCTGTTTATCACACAATGGTGTGGAATAAAAGGATGGACTCAACATTCCGAGATCAGATATTTACTTACCCGAAACTCGATGACACGTGGGTGGAATGGACTGACTCTCTGATTTGCTCGTCCAATGGGCTACCACGCGATTGGACTGATAGAGAAGAAACGAGAGCACGTCCAAAGTGACACGGGTTTTTCCAGATCCGGAACGACCGGACAAACAGATAGCCTGACGGACTGGACCAGAGACCACAGCACGATCCGAGCCGTTTCGTCGATGGTGCGTTTTCAAATAGCTCCGATTGAGACGAGCGAGGACTAACTGGGCCACTGAGAATACGTGTGGGGGCATATCACGCAAATTTCGACACCCTGTGAACAGGTTCATGACCTGTATACAGATAGGGGAAATCGATGATTTTATTAGCAACCTAGATAAAAGTTTTGCGAGGATACACGTCATTGTTGTTAGGTTCCATCACTGATTGCGTGCGCATAAGGCGGGGTTACAGGGAAACCGCTTCGCAGTGGTTCGCTCGAACTATTTTTTTATATTAGCTAAGACTGTGCATTGCGCTTCCATTGTAATCGTAGGATCAGTTTTGTGTTTTATTCAAACGCTATGATAAACACCTCAATTTATTATAAAATGATGACTATTTATGTGATCCACCTATCCGAGTAGCGACTATCGCAGACCGACAGGTTAGCTACGTTCTCGAAAACCAGACGGAAATCTGAAATGACACTTTCTGTTCCATGGTAAAGGAAACACGGTGAAAATCGAAAACTTTCTCTGAATTTTGTAAGCAGCAGATTTTGCTCAGACCAAACTAACAAAGAGAACCTGCATATTAAAGTTTGAATATTTTATCTTCACGAAACGTTTGAATTCTGTAATACTGTGTTGCATTGACAAGTGAAAGATGGAATTTATGCAAAGAAAAACTAGTCAACTTTGAAAAGATGCTTCTAACCTATTTGCGGAGGTTTTGTTATCACCAGACAGTGGCCTGTCCACGAATCGTTCAACCCGTGAGAACGGTGCTTAGGTAGTAGGTAATCCGATAAATCGGAAGACCCCTGGAGAAGATGGCATCCAAAAAAAGATATACAAACTGACTGCATCTTTGTTTGTTGATTTCAGAACTGTCTTCGACTCGATCGGGAGCAACCGCTCGATGAGCAGATGATTTATCAGAAAAGGATACCATTCTCATAAGCCCCCACACTACTGAAGCACGCACGAAAGAATACGCGTAGACGGAGAAGAATCCAGCAATTAATCTCTCACCTCGGGCGTTAGAAAAGGCCGTGCGCTATCTCCAGTCTTATTTAGTTGCACTATCGATGTCAACGACGGGTCAAGCCATTACATCCAAATATTCAAGTATATAGGATTCACAGTCCTTTCAAATGGAGAGATCAAAGAAGAAGTAGAAGTGAGCAACGATAACACGAGAAGGGCCTTTCTACAACATTACAAAAAGACTTTGGGCATGTAACGAGACCAGTTCCTGAACCAAAGTCCACGTCCGAGCCGCTACTCGACCGATAACTGAACTATGGTTGCGAAACGTGGCAACTATGGGTCGAAGATGTAAAACTACCAGAAGTATTTTCCCATTGTATTCAACAGATCCTCAGAGAAACGATAAGAAAACATGGTTTCAACAATGAAAAAGGGTCGGTACTGCTTCAGTGCCGGCAACTTCTATCGTTTGGGCATGTGGAGAAATTTCGGAACAGAGCCTCTCCGTTTTTCCATGATCCATTCTATGCTTCTGTGCGTTACGTAACGTAACGAACGCTGGCGTCGAGCTTCTTCCTGGAGACAGAGCCCCAGACTTAGAATATACCGATGATATTGCCTTACTGGGTGACAACGCGCCAACGATTCCAGAGTCGTTGAACCGTTTGGTAGTTCAGGTTATTCGCTGTGGTATGTCCTTTGCACCTTCGAAGTGCAAAGTGCTGCTGCAAGATTGGCAGAAACCCATTCCTGCACTTTCGTTGGGTAATGACACTATGTAAGTAGTCGAAAGCTTTCTCTACCTTGGCAGTTGCATAACGGCTGGCGGAGGCGTGGGTGATCAAAGCTAGATTACCGTCTACTAATCTGCGGCATCTCTGGCGGCGGCGCGACATATTCCTCTCATTGAAAGGGCCTGTGTATCGCGTAACGGTACGCACCATGTTGCTTTATGGCTGCGAGATCTGGCCTCTCCGAGCAGATCCCGTCGAGTGACTATCAGTCTTCGAAAATCGCTGTCTGCGCAACATCGCCCACGTATGGTGGGAGCATTGCGTGAATAACAATGAAGTCAGACGACAGGTGACTGGACAAAAAGGTCTTCCTTTGAACAAAATAATTTCACTGCATTGTCTTAGGTGGCTAGGGCACGTTCTACAAATGCCTGAACAACGTCTGCCACACCTTGCGCTATCCGCAGACATTGGTTCAGGCTGGAAGAAACAGCGAGGTGGACAGGCTATGACGTGGCGCAGAGAGTTAAAGATATTGGGGCTTCTCAGCTGAGGCTCCAAAGATTCAGATAATCTTTGGCTGGAGACACTGTGGGATATGGCATCGAACCTAAGTCAGTGGCATGAATGCATCCTTTCCTGTGTTCGATCCTAAAATAAACAAAAACGAAAAAAACCTCGAAATGGCGTGCAGCAAACAAACAAAAAATTGTAACTGCCTGAAGTTGACTGTTTTATTTTTCCCGCTTTCGTACCTATGTTTTTTTATTTCACCCATGGTTATTTTGGAACCCTATATGTAAAGATCAGTGTTGAACATAAACATATATGTAATTCTGTGTTGATGGCTGGAGGACTACTTCAACTCTGCTGGTCTTAACTGGGCAAGTGTCATCGTCTAATGAAGCCGGTTCATACTCTCTCAGGAGCTATTAGCAGAAACGTTAGGTTATGTTAGGTCGTGGGTTGAGACAAACATACCTATATCAACCCGCGAGGGAATGGACTACATTTCCTGGCCAAGAATGCTTACCAGTTTTCAT